ATATATACCGGTAGTATGCAAAGCTGCCCTCCTGGGAAAAGAAAACGGGCCACTTTGCAGATCATAACATCTTTGCGACAAGAACACAGATCCATGCTACATCTTTCTTTAATAACTCGACTTCTACTGATAGGAGTTCTGGTCCTGCTCTTCAATGGCTTGACTGCATTTCTTCGAGTTCAAACACCGCTGTTTCGACATGCTGTTGACGAACTTGCACTTCCATTTGTAGAAAGCAATGTCGAGCACTCAATTCACACAGCAGACATGATTTCGACAATGCCAACCATCAGATTAATCGTTGCCAAAACCATGTCCTTGAAGGATATGAACGACACGATTGTAGACATTGAAACCATGCAACAAAAAGTTGATGCCAAAACTATGGACCACGACTATGAAGTCGAATGGATTCTCTTTACCTATAAGAATGAGACATATGATGCTTTACTCGAATATCTGGATACAAAACAATGGAAGGAGAAATATCGAACTACCATTTACCTCTGGGAGGGAAAGCAGAAGCTCAACTTTTGGCAACGCTACTTGAATCCATCGTCTATTCCCAACAACATTGACTATATTTGGATGATGGATGGCGATATGAGGATTCGAGACATGGCCTGGGATTGCTTCTGGAAAACCGCCAGGCTATTTGATCCTGCCATGTTTGCTCCAACCATAATGGCAGACGCAGATATGTACAGCGAATCCAAGAAACGTTATGCCGGATCAAGTCATCCGATGAAGTGTCACACGGACCCATCCATGGATCCTGAGAATAATGATTTCCAGCATCTCATTGCCGTAGACGTTCCATTGATCGAAGTTCAAACACCCATCTTTCGTCGAGATTCCTGGCAAGCAGTCTACGAATCGTTTGAATTGAACATGCCAAGCTGGGGGAAATCTTTTTCCGATTGGGGCCCCAATCAAGTGTGGTGCCGTATCGCTGCTAGCAAGATTTGGAACACCACATATGCACCCATCGAACAAGCTGCATTGCAACCACGCATGCTTTGGTCCAGAGCTAAGGACACTTGTTCTATTAACGAAACTATCAAAGTCGACTTGTCGAGTGTCCAAGATCCTAGGTTCTATTTCAATGAGTTTACCGAGCAGTATGAGCGTCATGGCTGCATGATTATTCAGAACACCCCTTTTAAGCATCTGAACACCCAGAGTAGTGGTGCCAGACAAGACAAGCAATCCAAGGCTAGGCAAAAGTGGAATGCTATCGCACCAGCCGAATCGAATGCATACCAAAACGTGTATCCCAATGAATTTGCCAGTGTCAAGAAAGCCCAAATACACATCTACCGGGCCTATACCTCAAACGATCCATCCCAATACGCCTGCCAAGTTTGCAAGCACCGTGAATGCTGACGATTCTGTTTCGTAGATGGGTGCAAATGACGATAATGGCAATCCTACAATGAATCTGGATAATGTTGAAGGTAAAAAGAGACGCGATGAGAACGTACTGTACTCTACAAAAGTTTGTGGAAGGCTATATAAGATTTTAATTTAATTCCCGTTTTGTATAGTTGAATATTATGAACTG